TAGAATTATGTGAGTTAATACTGATCTCTTCTCTTAAATTGATTTTAATGTACATTTTTTGAAATCGCAACCAAAGACAATGGAACAATTGAAACGCGTTCTGTACTCGTACATGTAGGATTATGAACAGCTTTGTTTAATATAATAGAAACAAAAAACAACTTTACTTTTTTCATGTAAATAATGATATGTATAAAAAATCTGTATTAAAATATAAATGCGTTGTTAAAAAACACATATCAGAAAGGCTCAGGGAAAAATGGGTAGAATTATTTTCCTATTGTTTTCTGGGACACTTATTTCAATGAAAATACGTTTGGGATGTTCGGATATATTGTAAGTACCTATATTCTAATATGTTTTTATATTTTTTAGTCATTGTTATTATGTTTCATCATAAATATTATCCAAAATATATAAAAGTAGGTTAAGAAAATGAATGAATTTATGACAGCAGATTATAATATTTTACATAATATAAATTGACCCAAAGGACACTTGAGTTTAGATGTTGACATCATTGCTTGTATAAATAATTAATCCCAAACTTGCTTCGTTTAGCACCCGCAACCTTAAGGGGTTCCCAGACGTTTTAGCTGCTTAAGCAATAATTGACGCACGTTTTATAGATATAGTATATTATAATAATAAAAATGAAACGATTGATAAAGTATTGTTGAAGAAATTGAAAAGATGAGGCACGGACAATTTTGCACATATAAAGGACTAAGTCCCGGTTGAGAGTTTAATAAATTAAGATCACTAATTTTTATTTCGGCAGTTGTATACAACTACTTTAAGAAATATTGTAGTCTGTATAGTTTGACTTTATAAATTGCATTATTTTTCGAAGAAATATTTAAAATAAAATAATATATATATTTATTATTAAAAAATAATAATAAATGAATCAAGCTACTTGATCAGATAGCTAAAAATCGTAAAATTTACATGTTTAATTTAAGTTTTTTGACCGTCTTGAAATGGCTTTGAACAAACTGAAGTGTGATGGGCAACAAGCTCAACCAATCTAAACAATCTAATGTGATATGTGTCATTTTGGTTAGATACTTAGGTATAGAGTAGTGGTTCAGAACTTTAGAGAAGGCAGGATTATCTACTCACAGCTTTAGGACAATTATAATGAAGGAACTGTAGACGTATCTAATTATAATCTTCTGAATAAGATGTTATTATGACCAGATTAAAATATATGCCGAGGTTTGTTTCTCAATAGGCTTAAAATTCTGAGTAAACGAGGTACACATATTCTGTGTAAACCATTAATGTGAATATAAAAATTATAGATGGAAAAAAAGTAAGTACAATTTACATAATGCTCAAGTTAATGTCAGATCACCGCTTTTTGTATATTACATTAAATTCGTTTTATGTTCTAGAGTGATATATTCGTATAATATGAAACAAGTAGGTAGGTATGCATTGTTAGAAATCCTGTTAAGTTGAAAAATTTGTCATGTGTTTTGCACGCTAGCTGCAGGTAAAATTTAACATAATAAATATAAAATACTACCGTCTCGTATGGTCTCAGTATAAAATAGGCCACCCTTTTCTTTCCTGTGAATGTCGTAAGAGAGGGCGAAGGATGGGCAGCTGAGTCCCTCTTAAAACGTCTCTATAACGTAACCCCGGTTGCCAATCCGCCTGTTCAGCATGGCAACTACTTGCAACAACCCCCCCCCCCCCTCCCCTCCATAGAGGGGAGGCTTATGTTCAGTAGTGGACACTTAAGTCCGATACGACAACGACTACTGTGCATAGTACATAGCGCCGTCTAGTACTAATCAAACAGTATTAATCATCTTTTTTATAAATATTATACATAGGAGATACTTAGATTGATTCAAACGGACACACTCATGAATATTAATGTATGTATTGTGGGGGAAACGAACCCGCGATTATCAGAAGGTGAAGTGGTATGTTAAATCGCTACACCCTCAATGTCATCATCAGTGTTATACATAGCATGTATTAAATTGCTATTAAGCTTTATTTGTATAACAAAGACGTGAACTCTATGGTTAAGCTCGTTTGTCAATATTCGGAGGTGCGTTGTTCCCTATTGCATATTCACTAGTCAGCAGCTCAAAGGTGTTAGGGTGAAACTTTCGTAAGCCCTCCCTCAAATCAAAGTTAACCAGAAAAGTAAATGGGTGATTAGTATAATCTGTCTTACAATTGTTTTGCAAACATATTTTATTAAGGTACTAGCTTTCAGCCCCAGCTTTGCACGGGTGCGTGATCTCGATAACATTATCATTTGTAAGAATAAAAACTGTTTTCAAGTTGAAGTAAACGATACACATTTATGAATTTTTATTATTCAGTAATTTTGGAGATTAGGAAGTACGAATTTTTATATATTTAGAAAATATTATAAATTTTACTATCCATTTTAGGAAAGTAAACATTTGAGTATATTAATAAACCTTCTCATTTCAAAAAGAAGAATAAAACTGGATCTTCATGAATTTTCATTAAATAATGAATATCTTGGATCATGTATCGAAGTGATTTGAGGGGATTTATTAAGATATTTTTATCTCAGGAAATGAGAGAAGAATATTCTAAGCAAAGTCGCAGATATTATTATTATATATACAATAAATAGGTATTAAATATAATTTGTAAAGGATCTATTATAAAATTCGTGCATCGTGTCGAACAACCACAACGTCTGGATGTAATTATAGTGAAAGAATTGTTAATAAAAATTTCGAATACCTATTATATAAACAACATTTGAATATTTATGACGAATTGGGGTGAAAAACAATATTCATATTTTTACGGTTCTATAATTTTTTTTATAGTGAAACGAAATTCGTATTATTCTTACTCCGCCTTTGTGACTGAAAATTATTAAAATTTGAAGTAGGCGGTTAAGTTTAATCAAAATAATAAGGGAAAAATTAACATAATTTTCATAAACATATTAGTCAATGGTAAAATGATATTCTCTTTGAAACAGTTCTAAAATATGTACTTAGTAGAACAGTAGAAAAATGTTCCACGATTAGTCAAAATATCGCGTAACACCAGAAACAACACTCATTTGAATACAAGAAAAGCATTACCATCGATATTGGAAAATATTTTTAGAAATTAATTAGAACCAACTGGAATTAAACACATACATAAATCAAGCCTAGATATCTACCTCTGGTTAATTCGTGTTCTAAGTAATTACTTACTTTGAAGTATACGTTATAATTTGAGAAAAACGAATGAATAAATGAATCAAAATACTTTATTTGCAATATACAATATAGGAAATAAGCAAGACAATTAATAATTATAACGATACAATTCTATAAGTACAGTAAGGCGGCCTTAATGTCTTATGAATCTTGAGATTACTTAGCTATAGTCTATATATGATGACTTCCTTTTAAGTATATCTATAGTATATAGGTATAGAAGACAAAATATCTATGCTTTTGGGTTTTCGTTTTGTAAAGCTTAACATAAACTTAGCTTTTAGATAACGCTTATCTCTTTGAAAGGGTCTGTTACACTATCATTAAAGTTTTCGGTTTGAAATTAACATTCATTTAATGCCAATGTAGTTGAACAAAAGACTTTGTAATAAGAGACTAAATTCACATTTAGTGAGTAACTACTCAAATTGCCAGTAGTTTTCAAGTTTGAACATACTTAATGTCTTTCATAAAACATATTTATTTTTCCGAGAGATGGCAGTAGGGATTGCCTTTCGCTACATTATGTGGTCGGTAAAATGTGTGCATATCGAGTGTTAGGTTGACCATAAAGTTCTAAAATGTTCGTGATTTTACAGTTTATTTTTCTTTATTCGAAATTGGGCAATACATTTTTTATAAATATTATTATGGTTTCAGTTAATTATTAGGTCTCTAAAGAACAGAAAAATAGTCCCGTCCCTTAATAATTTACTACACAATAGATTTTTTTTAAATATACTGCCGTTGTATGTTATATGTCATTTGAATGTTAATAATGTTTGGAGTATGTTGAGATTTAAGAGATTATTTTCTGTTTAAATACAGTAATGGCTAAGTTTCTTGCCTTTTCTTTTTAACAAAAATGACCTTCCATGTTAGTCGGCTGATTAAAAAAAGAATACTTACGTGTCACAAAATTATGATATATATCTAGAATTTCTTATGTTTATATTGTGATTTATATTATTTTGCAAGCATTATTTAGCAGTAACTAAGATTTGTACTGATGAGCCTATTGGAACAGGTTATTTTTATATTATTACATTATATGAACTTCAATTTCTGAACATTCGTAGTACGTTTTAAACATGAAAATAAAACAATTTTATTGTTTATCGCTAAGTATTGTTAGTATATTGAAATAGAATCGATTCCCGTCACGTTGCAGAATGTGACGTTTAAATTTGTGAAATCTATTTAGGCTTCAAGGTAATTTGCCCGCATACCTGTAATTAGTTGATAGATAAACCATGAAATTACTATTTAGTTTGTGAGATAAACTATAATAGATGTTTATTAGAAAGAAATATTTTATACAGACCACAGTGCATACAATGTTATGTTATGTCAACATTATGATTATTATAATTAATTTATTGGATTATTAATAAGTAGAATGATTGAAAAAAAAATTGAAAAATACAGGATAACATTTAAGTTTTTGGAAATATGTTTGCCATTCTAAGTTGCAAAAAAATTTATGTCTAAGTACTGACGACTGATATCAAATTTTGTTTCGTAAATCATTTTGTGTATCATTTTATTAGGCAGATACAATATATGTATTTTAATTTGAACGTCCAGCGATATATGTATATTATTAATTAATAATTATTAATTCGGCAACTCTAATGCGGTGATTAGTTTATTAATAAATTTGAATAGATACAATTTCTACCGATCAACATTGGTCCATGATGTGTTTTTCTCTTGTTCATCAGCACGAGACTCGAACGTTAGATGGGTAACTAACGACTACCAGTTACAATGAAGCCGGCTAGCGCGCAACACGCTTGCTCTTGCTGTCGAATATTTGTTAACATCGCGTAAATTCTGATCACGGTACTAATTTTGAGGAAAATTACAATGAATTATTTCCATGCACTCATTATTAAATCTAGAACCGCTTTAGTATTCCAGATGAATTTTTTTAACAAACACAACCAGGAAATGAACTTTTTTTGCTATTAAAATTATGTTTTTGTGATAATTGTGATAAAGACCTATTTTAGTGATGCTTTAATAATAATGAAGATTGATTTATTGTTTCTAAGTAAGTATAAGTATTTATTAGATGCCCTTTATATATATCCTTGATAGATAGATCCATTTGGAAGTTTATTTTTTGTAAAAAACATGCGACTATGGAAAAAGTAAATTAAACGTAATTTTCATTTGAAGTATTAAAATTTATAATAACAATATATGAAACTATTAAATTTTCTAATTTTATGTATATTTATTAAACATTAAAAATTTTATGGCATGAATGGAAATATCTCGATAATGAAGTACCGCGTTCGTGATTCACTGATCATTTCAAAGGTTGATTGGTAGAGAATGCTACTAGCATTAAGTCCCCTTTTTTACTTTATTTTGGTCAATAAAGTTTTTGATTTAACTCTTTATATACGAGAAATGTAAAAAAGTTATTTGAATAAATAAATATTGGTTAGTTACCTACTAACTTAGGAATATAAAAAACGCTCTATTCATATATAATAAATGTAGTCCTAATAATACGATATTACAAATGAAGCATATTTCTATAGAAATTCATACTTACGTGCTATCTATATAAATATGCTCACGATTATAATTCTAGATGGGACAGTCAGTGTGATTTTATCGGCTGTAGTCGATGAGATAAATATACTCGATAACAGGTAACACTCGATTTGCCGAACTCGTTATGGTAGAAAATATGTACGAGTATATTTAGAATCTGACAAGGCAAAAAGCGACTTCACAGTGTTTCTTGAATTAATTAGACTTATTATAAAACCACATCTGGTTAGAAATTTAAATTGGCACACAATGTTTTGAAGTTGATTGATACAAATTAGGTATAAATTATTCTTCTTCTCTCAGAATCTGAATTATAACATAATGGAAAGAAAATATATCCAGACAGGGGTTTATATTTTAATATATTTAACAGATAAAAAGGGTCCTTACCTTGGCGTTTTGTTTTATCAAAGAGAAAAGGTATTTAAAGAGGACCTCTGAAAAACCAAATAGGTACTTATTAATTATTTCTCTTTTGGTTACGGCTCAATTAAATTAATGTACCTTTGTACATACGCTATTATTACATGATTAATTATTTATTCTTTAACGTTGATTTAAGCTTAAAATAAATTATCTGCACGTGATGCTGCAATGTATTTATTTTATTTTTTGTAATGGTAAATAAACTGAAGGTCATAAGATGGAAAATAGTAGCAGCTATTGCATAAGCAATAAGAGTATTATTGGAGTACCCAATAGAATATGCTATGCTGCAAATAACAGGGTTATGGGTTGCCAGTTTTGAGAAAGTATGACTTTTATGTCAGGACTATTTTAAACTAGAGAGTAAAACAAATGCAACAACGTGTATTCACACGTTAACTTGTTATTGTTGTTTCATGATTGAATGCCTAATCATTACGTAATGACTATCCAAGGGAATTGTTCTAAAGGAATAACTTAGTCACGTAACCGTACTCACATGTAGGTACAGTTTCATGTATTACACCCAGAAGTTTTGAATGAGTTTTGATAGACCAATCAAAATGTTTTATACAGACTAGGCCTCGACTTCATTTGTATGCATTTTGTGTAGTTATAACAATTATTTTCATAAAGACTAAAAATTGTTAAATAAATATAGGATATAGCAAAATAATGATGTTAATGAAAATATCAAAATAATTTTTAGAACAAATTATATATCATCGATACAAATACAACGTATATTCATTTATAAAAGCAGCAGTACAGCAATTAATTCAGAAAGAAATCAAAAATTAAATAAAAAAAGAATTTTTAGGTAACAAAATAACTATGTAAATAGGGACAAAAATTTAACAAAAGAGAGTAACAGACTACTAACGTATTACATAATAATTTTTCTTAAAATAAATCTTCAATCGATATAAATGTGAATATCGAAATTGATCAGAAATAGAAAATCAATTAGAAATATTATAAAAGACTATGTGGATATCAAGCAAGCCCTTTGTTTGATATTCACATGTCCTTTTAATTGCATAATAGTATAGAATAAAAGCAGAATATCATAATTCCATAGTGTAATAGTGAGGTCACAAGTATAATGAAAGGTTGCATTTGCTTATCATGCAGATTTGCGACCCTCATTATGCTGGCATAGATAAAGAAAAAGAGTCATAAAACAGGCATAAAGTAGTTGTGCTCCTTTTGAAGTACTTTTTAAGCAACATGTACAGAATTCTGTAAGACGATGCATAGATAGGAACATATTAACTTTATGGGGCGTGTATACCTATATATTCTCTGTGGAGTAATTGATTTAATCTATAAAAATAGGTAATAGGTAACAACAGAATAGATGTACACGTTTCTTAATAATTATGATATATGATTCTTATAAAAGGAATTCGTTAGTTACAGAACGGAATCTTCCGATGGGTAGAAATAGTACTAAACACACATTTGTTTTAGACGTGGAAGAATCGATACTCTTTGTTTATAATTTACAGAAGTTTCTTTAATAGTTTGTGTTTATTTTCTATAATTGAATCGGATTCGCATTCTTAAAATGAATAAATTGTTTTAATTATTACACATTTCAGAGTTAAAATGGATAACAAATAATTTTTTTTATACAACTTAGAATGGCAAACAAGCTGACGGCCCACCTGATGGAATGTGGTAACCGTCGCCTATAGACATGAGTAGTACCATGGATATAACAGAGTATATTGTTTTGCCAATGATACCCCCCATGCGTTGCCATTCCTGAGGACTCAGATGTTATTCCTCTGTACCCTGTAAATGCACGCCATATCCCACCCTTCAAACCGAATCACAACCCGTGCAAACACAAGTGTTTCACGGTAGAAACACGAATGGGACAGAGGTATCCAAACAATCGACTTTGGTACAAAGTCTCAAATTATAAATAGGTATTTAGTGAATTTGAATAACTTTCCTAAGGATTCATATTATCATATAATTTACCATAGCAGCAATCGCAGAAGAAAAAACCATTTTGCTGTAAGCAACAGCAAATTTAAATAAATTGTAGCGTTATTGTGAGGACATTACAACATTTTTTACACAAAGATTCATTAAAGCTAGAAACACGTTAGTGATCTGGCCTGGCATTATAGATTTATAACCTATAGTAACTAGGCGAGGTACATGCTGTTGGGCTATATAGGTGATTTGCAATCTTTTCCTATATAAAAAAAAATTCAAAGTAACTATAAAGATAATTATCAACTCTAATGCTCTTTGAGTATTTTTTTTTATTTATAAATTATTTATTGACTTATAATACAACGCCATATAGTATTAAACTACGCAGAGCTTTTACTGTATTTTTATAATATTATACAAAGGAAAGTTATATTATTATAATATGAATACAAATGTTTGTGTTATACGGGACACGAACTAGCAACTATGGAAGGTGAGGTAGTGTATTTAGATTATATAATATACATAGAAAACAAGAAAACACATATATATACATATATATATATATTTGTGTACATCTATTTTTCATACCCCTTAATGATAGGGGTGACCCACCTCTAAATATATTTTTTTATCTTTTTGTCAATTTTTTTTATTTTTATTTTATTATGATTTAGCATTAAAAAATACATACAAATTCAAATTTTCATGCTTTTACGATCAACCCCTGTTGTTTAATCGCAATTTTTATATGCCGTAATAGGGTTGCAAGATGACAATCGAATATAATAATTGTAGTACGATATATTTTCATGTATAGTTCTAGAAATAATGTATATGGTAAAACAACGTTTATCGAGTCAGCTAGTATCTAATATATAAAATTCTCGTGTCGTGGTGTTTGTTACCAAACTCCTCCAAAACGGCTTTACCAAATTATATGAAATTTTGTGTGCATATTGAGTAGGTCTGAGAATCGGCCAACATCTATATTTTATACCCCTCAATGATAAGGGTGACCTACCTACTACGCACCTAAATATTTTTTTTTATTTATATTTATTATTTTCATTTTTATATTTTTTTGTCATTCTTTTTATTTTTATTTTATAATGATTTAGCATTGAAAAATACATACAAATTCAAATTTTCACGCTTTTACGATCAACCTGTTATTTAATCGCGATTTTTATATGCGGCAATAGGGTTGCAAGATGGCAATCGAATATAATAATTGCCGAGTCAGCTAGTATCTAATATAAAATCGTACCATATCGTTCCATAGGTACTACGGTAAGTAGGTACTTAATCATTAGCGCCCATTATTTGGTACTTCCGCAATCCGTAGATTTACAAATTATTATTTATAATCTATATATATATATATATATCACAGACAGGGAATTAAATGAACTTATTTGTTATTTCCAACAATTGGCTCGCCCAAAACATATAACAGTTATTTCCTTAAATATATATAAATAGAGATTTACATATATAATTTATGACAAAATTAATAAGGAGGAATCAGTTTCTGTTCCGTATTATAAATTAGACCTAATGCTTCAAAGCTATGAACTCAGAAGGTTTCACTGGATACGAATTGAGGAATCTTAAGCTGCCGGCAATTTAGATATTATTCGTAACCAATTTTGCAAATTATTTATTGAGTCTTATACCCGTGACATACATATCAATTATGGCATGTATTTCTCTATAAATACAACAAATTATCTTCACCATGACGATTGTATGTATATTTGGTAATAAAAAATTTGGTATATATGAGTCCTTTAATACATACGAGTGTAAAAGAATGTATACCACAAATTTTATGAATCGTTTAATGTGTTTATAACAATTTAATATGATACTAACGATTAATCGTAGCACCTAACAGACATAACCACCATTTGGTGGGTCAACTAATAATGAATTTCCCTGTGGAGTAATTGATGTTTAGTCACCATCTTGCGCCATCATATTTTCCGTAATTGGGGACGGAAGCGATAACAGAAATTGAAATACGCAAAAATTTATTGGAGTCAGTTGACTGTAATGAACTTTTGAGATTTTCGCTAATTATCAAGTGAAATTATGAATAAG